TTACAGACATAATGTCAATTGCTTCAACTGTGAGGTAAACAACACAAGAAATTATTCTTTCAGCTAGTACGGCCAGATGATGTAATGTAACCTGAATGATCATGGTACTGCTCTGGCCTAAATCCTTCTTGTTTTCTCGTGTGAACTTGCACACTCTTTTAAAAAATATATGTATTTTTATTGATTTCAGAGAAGGAGGGAGAGATAGAAACATCAATGATGAGATATGGAATTGAGCCCACAACCCAGGCAAGTGCCCTGGCTGGGAATCTAACCACTGAGCCACACCAGCCGAGCTCAGATAATTCTAACCCAATACCTTCTACTGTCACTGCACCTTACAAATATTTGAAACTCCTACCAAACAGAATAACAATCTTGCTTCCTAAAAGTGCCTTCATGCCTTTTCCCATGCTGTCCCCTCTCGTTTACCTATAAAATATCATCAGTCTTTCAAGGCCCATTTCACATGTTCCTTGCCCATCATGTTACTTCTGATCCACCCACCAGATGTTTGTGCTCCCCCATTAACATCCATTGCATCTTTTGTTTACTTTGCATTTGTGTTTCCTCCTCTCTCACACACCAGCAGACAGTTTAGAAAATGGTGAACATGAGCCAAATGGTTCTGAAATAGAGGAAATGGGGATATGGAAAGAGGACAATAGAGAAAGAAAACAAAAATTTTCCTCAGAATTCTTGTTATGAGGAAGAGAATTTTTCATTATTGGAAGCATTAAAGAAGAAACTGAATGATTACATATTGAGGATAGTATAAATTTTTTTTACTTCTCTGTATAAGTGTTAAACTAAATAAATTACTTCTGAGATTTTTTTCCAACTCAAAAATTTTTTAATTCACAAAAATTCCAAAAAATTTGAGGAGGAAACATTTTATGCTGTGGGCATATGATATTGATAAATGAAGTTTAGTGGTACCAGATACAACTTTTTCTGTAAAGTTAGTAAAAACAATTTGAAACACTTATTTGGGTTAATATTTTATGCTTTCTCCCTAAGAAATAACCTTCTAAGAGTTTTCTGTAAAGTAGCAATGATATTAATTTGAGTGGCATCTCCTTTACCTCCTTCCTCCTTGTCGAGATGCAGATAAACCATAAGATAACAAAGCTCAGGAAGAAAAGGAACCAGGCTGGAAGTGATTTGTAGGCTACATAGTTAGGTCCTTACTACTCAGAAGTGGACTATTCTGCATTTTGTGGTTTTAGCCAAGAATTAATAGTTCTAGATATTGCTGAGATCTATTTATGAAATTAAAGAAATTATTAAGTCTCTTTTGGTGTTCAATGAAAAAATTCAGAAACAAAAAGGAAAATAACCCTGGCTGGTTAGCTCAGTTTGTTAGTACATCATCCCAACATGTCAAGGTGGTGAGTTCAGACCCTAGTCAGGGCACATATGAGAATCAATCAATGAATGCATAAAAAGAGTGGAACAACAAATTGATCTCTCTCTCTCTCTTTCTCTCTCATCTCTCTCAAATATATATATATATATATATATATATATATATATATATATATATATATATATATATGTCTAAGCAACCAGCCGTCCAGTAACTATGATGCACACTGACCACCAGGGGGCAGAGGCCTGCCACATGCTTGGAAACAAGAAACAGACTGATGAATCTCAGAAAGAAGGGGATAGAGGGGAGGGCGGAAAGAGATTAACTAAAGATCTTATATGCACACTAGAGGCCCAGTGCAGATTCATGCGCTGGTGGGGTCCCTCGGCCTGGCCTGTGGGGATCAGGCTGAAGCCTGCTCTCCGACACCCCCCAGGGGTCCCAGATTGCGAGAGGGCGCAGGCCAGGGCAAGGGACCCCATTAGTGCACGCACAGGCTCTAGTAAATAAATAAAAATTTTAAAAGAAAAGAAAAATTAAAAAGGAAGACCACCCGCAACCCTGTAAACCCAAATACACTTAGGTTGCAATTTCTTTCAGACTCTTCTCTTGGCATAGATAATATGTTTGTGTGTTTGTATGTGATAAATTAGAACTATGTGACATAGTTTTTGTTCTCTGTAAAGAATCCATTATACATTTTTTACTAAGGAACTTATTTTTTTTCTAAGTATTTTGAAGTTATTTGGGTTAAAGAGGAATATAAAATTAAACAACTGAAAAATGAGCTATAAACTATTGAGGTGGGTGCTGTTTAATTCTGAGAAATTTGATAGGGAGCTATTTTCATATACAAGCAAAGATTCATAAATAGGCAGACAATTGCAGTAACATAGAAAACAGCTCCTGGAAATTTTACCTAGAAAAGTCAACCTGGGGTTATGCAAGCAAAAGACAGAGAAGCCTGTTGGCCCACGTGATATGTGCATAGTGAAGGTGGGAAATATCTGTTTTTTCCTTAGTATAAAATTCAAGGTCCCTGATCATAGAGAGAATGAAGAAGTACAGAAGGGTCATTTGGTGGAAGTAAGCTAAACATCCACTTTTCTTTTAAACGCAAGCAGAAGTTAAAGTCTTTCCATGCTTAAATGTTGTAAGTGACTGTATAATCTTGTGCTGCTTAGCCATATCTTGAAAAGCCAGTCCTGTTGGTCCATGCCACTAATCATAATTCACTTCAGAAGAATTAGAAATAATGTTTTATGATTCATAACGTATTTCACATCCCATTTAATACTAATGCCAAATCCCAATTATTTACAGAATTCTTGAAAGAAAATAATTAGTCTTTCGTACAGTTACCTTTATAAACCTAAGTGAACATGGTGGTAGTTGACCCCACACCTGTCTATCCTTGAATTATAAAATACAATCCAATAACTGTGAGACACATTGGGAACCTTGGGTTTTTGAGGGACAGGATTGTATTTGTCACACATTCCATTGTGAAATATTTCCTGACCTGGGGCCTTGACTGTACAATTGAAACCAACAATGCTATAGAGAGTCTGTAGTAGAGAAGTGAGTGTTTTTATACTCAATTTTATTTGTAACAAGTCAGATGCTGATGTCGCTGCTGTGCTCTTTCTGTTATAAATTCTACTGTGTTGAGAATTGCATGGTTGGTTAGATTGGTGCATGAGAATGATTTGGTGTTTGAAATGATGAGACGTGTCTCATCTCTTTCTCTGTGAAATTCTAATTTGTAGTGAGCGGCTGAGAATACTCAGATTTGAATTATTCTGTTTATCCAAAAAGCCACTTATTAAATAAAGATGATGTTAATAATATTTAAATCAGTGGTTTGAGTCAGCTTTGCTTTTTGGTTTGTAGACAAAAAGGGTTAGTTACTTTGGTGTTGGAACTCTCCAACTTGAAATCAATTGCTATTGCATCCAGACATGGTATTTAAGGAATAGTTTTTATCGTTATTTATCATTAAAAAGCACTAGACTTTATGTTTTTAAACTATTACTTCTTAAGTATCGGGTCTAGTAATAATAAATGTCGTTTTTAAACATTCGTTTAAAATCTTGCTTGGCATTGACTTGTATTGACATAACCTTCAAACACGTGGTATCTACAGAATGTGTGAAGTGCAATTAACAAGTTTTGCTTGAAAAAGTTTGTGTTTGCTTTGGTTTTTGTTGCAAAACTAGGGCTAAGAAGATGGCGGATGAAGAGCATATTCGGCACTGCATGCTTTACGAGTTCCAATTAGGAAGAAAAGCAAGTGAGGCTGCAAAAAACATCTGTAGTGCTCTTGGTCAAGATGCAGTTAGCACCAGAAAATGCCAGCGTTGGTTTGAGAAATTTCGCGAGGGAAATTTTTCGTTAGATGACAAGAGTGGTCGAGGCCGTGTGTCCAATTTTGATCAAGAAGCTCTTCAAGCTCTTTTGGTGCAAAATCCTCAAATTACCCAACAAGAGCTTGTGACAACTTTAAATTGTTCACAAAAAAACAATTTCCAATCAATTGCGTGCACTTGGCAAAGTCCAAAAGTTTGGAAAATGGGTTCCTCATGAGTTGACCGACAACAACCGTAATCAAAGAGTCACAATTTGCAGTTCGCTCCTCTCTCGTCAAAACCGTTTGCCGTTTTTAGAGCAAATTGTTACCGGAGATGAAAAATGGGTGCTGTATGTTAATTTAAAAAGGCGGCCTCAATGGTTGGACAAAAATGAGGCTCCGCAGCCCACGCCAAAACCTGACTTGCATGCGAAAAAAGTGATGTTGTGTGTTTGGTGGAATTTTAAAGGAATTCTTCATTATGAACTTTTACCATCTACCCAAACCATTACAAGTGCAGTGTATAGTGCCCAATTGGAAAGGTTAGGCCAACCTTTAAGAGAAAAAGAACCCGCGCTGATTAATCGGAAGGGCATAATTCTTCACCATGATAACGCACGACCGCATACTGCAAGAATCACTGCTGAAAAACTGCACCAGTTGGAATGGGAAGTTCTCCCTCAACCTGCATATTCTCCTGATATTGCCCCTTCCGATTACCATTTGTTTTGTTCTTTGCAAAACTTTCTTCTTGGAAAAAAATTTAATAATGAAGAATGCCTCAAAAATGCATTGACCGAATTTTTTGCATCAAAATCACAAGAATTTTACAACAGAGGGATTAAAATGCTTCCTGAGCATTGGGCACAAGTAGTAGAAAACAACGGCAACTATATTGTTGATTAAATTTTGTTGTATTGTTTAAATAAATTCGATTTTAAAAAGTATTAGAAAACGACATTAATTATTACTAGACCTAATATATAGATAGCCTTTAAAGTATCCAGGTATCTAAGATCTTCTAGGTCTTGCAGGCTGATACTGTTGGTAATATTTTAGAGCACTGAATGTGTAAGTAAAAAATAAATAAATAAACTTAAATTTTATTTATACTCAAATATGAAAAAGATTAAGAGATTTTTTTGTGTGTACATAAAACTCTACCCAAAAAAATAGCTACCAATTAAATAAAATAAAGAATAAGAAGGAAGGTATGTTCTTTTTTAAAAAAATAAAGCTTCTTTTATACCAAAAATAAGGTTCTTTTTTCTATTTCAGTGTAAAACCTGTTCTGAGCCAAAACAGATAACCAGTTCATCTGCCATTTATGACAACCCCAATCTCATCAAACCCATTCCAGTGAAGCCCAGTGAAAACCAGCAGCAGCGAGTACCTCCACCCAGCCAGGTACTCAGTTCTCCGTTTTTTATTCATGGTGTCTGTATAAGGTTCGTAACAAACTTTTATCCAGAGTGTAGTCAAAGCAGGAGTGCCTGGTCCTGTTTGAGGATCTTTTAGGGTAAATAAAAAATTAAAAAAAAAAAGAGAGAGATTTCAAGTTAAAGATTCTTTTATTATTAATAATTCACTCTTTCTCAAAAGGTGTTAACATTTTTACTTTTGGCATTTACCATAATCTCTTGTGGATTTGAACTCCCTACAACACATGTGTCAAACACAAGGCCCGCGGGCCAAATCCGTCCCGCCAGGCCTTGCAATGTGGCCCGCACCGCGCTGTCATCACTGCACTTCGCTGCGTTTCCATCACAATGACAGTTTATGACTGTTCAGTAAACCATTCGGCCCGCAATTTAGGCTGGATTTTAGATTTTGGCCCCTTCTCTGATTGAGTTCGACACCCCTACCCTACAGGATAATGTGTTTTTTATTTTTTATTTTATTTTTTTAAAATATATTTTATTCATTTTTTACAGAGAGGAAGGGAGAGAGAGAGAGAGCTAGAAACATCGATGAGAAAGAAACATCAACCAGCTGCCTCATGCACACCCCCCACTGGGGATGTGCCTGCAACCAAGGTACATGCTCTTGACCGGAATCGAACCCTGGACCTTTCAGTCCGCAGACCGACGCTCTACCACTGACCCAAACAGGTTTCAGCGATAATGTGTTTTTTAAAAAACAACAACAAACTAATAACATCACTAGAGTTAACAGGAATATTACCCAAGAGGCCCATGTTCTGCGGAGGTTGATGGTTGGTTTCCCAAAGCAGCCAGAACAACAAAATTCAGTTTAACATTTCTGAACACTTCCTTTGTACCAGGTTTAATGCTAGGCCACTGTTAATACAGAATGGGATTCCTGTCCTAAGAAATGGTATAAAAGTCCGTTTTAGACCTGATGATTTGCCATTGTATTTGCATCTAATTATGATAGCAGTTTTTGAAAGAATCCTATATAATAAAAACCTAATATGCAGATTGACCAATCGCTGGAACAACTCAACTGGTTATTACAGCGTGCACTGTCCACCAAGGGGGCATACGATCTATGCAGGATGTGCCCCCAGCCCGTAGGCCCCAGGGTGGGGTACCCCTGATCACCCTGCCAGCTGCCCCACAGATTGGCCCTGATCACTGACCATACAGGAATTTTGTGCACTGGGCCTCTAGTATATACATATATTAATATATATTTCAGAATAGTAAAGCATTAACAAAATTGCTAATCTACAAGTCCTGTTATTTTTTTTTTAAGATTTTTTAAAATTGATTTTTAGGGAGTGAGAAAAGAAAGGGGGAGAGAGAGAAATATCATTAGCTACCTCCTGCATACACCCCCCATCAGGGATTGAGCTCATAAGCCATCATGTGCCCTGACTGAGAATCAAACAGGCAGCCTTTTGGGCATGGGATGATACCCAAGCTACTGAGCCACATGGGCCAGGGTACAGTCCCATTTTTTATTGTAAATATAATGTGGCTGTTTCCATTTCTAGGAGTTATGCCTCATTAACGGTTTTGGGTGTTTTGTTTTTTCAAGGAATTGGTTTAAATTAATTTTAAAAATAAAATGGAACCAAAAGACACAAAGATAAGCTAATGAAAGTCTCATATTGAATTTTTTTTAAAAAATAAGTTTTTTCTAATTATCTTTTGCTTTCTTTTATTGTTTGCTTTTCATGGAAATTTGTTATTTTAATAGAGAAGTGAGAATATGTTGATTTAAGAATGAAGCTCCTTTTTTCTTAGCCTAATAATACAGAAAGCAACAGAAAGAGGCAGAGATGATATATAGCAGGAAGGAAGCAACTTTGTAACTGGCAGGGCCAAGGTAGATTTTATGATTTGATGGTTTTTTAAAGCTACTAATATATAGTTGTCAACAATAATAGTTTGTACCAATTTAATGTGAACGGGAATCCTCAATTTGGGGTTCAATGAAGAAGGAAACTTTATTCAATGTAAAATAGCTCAATTGTGGTACAGCGTGGCTGTGAGGCAGCCCTGGGCCAGGCAGCACTGGGCACAGAGCTGGACAACTCTGCTCTACTCTGTGCCCATTTGCTCTTTCTGTGCTGGTCTACTCTGCTCCTGTAAGACATCTTCAAGAATTCAGGTCAGCCGGGAAACAGTCTTGAGTCTCCCACAGAAAGAGAAGAATGTGCTCCTAGAGCCAGAGGGGAGCTGGCTTATGTAGACAGAAGTCTCCGTCCCTGGTCCCTAATTGCTCTTTCCTTTACATGAGGACTCCAAATCCTTGAAATTTGATTGGTCCAAAAGCACCAATAGTGCCACTCTGGTTGGTCAGAACTACATAGCTCTGATTGGATGGGGAAAGCCTCCATCCCATTGGTTAAAATAGGATTCCAGGAGCTCCTTTATAAGGGCTGGTTCAGATGGCAGAAACAGAGTGCAGGCTTCCCCATAAAGTGCAGTTTGTGTTAGAGGTCCCTGTGCAGAAATGGCTTGTAGGCTCCTTCTAAAAAAATTTTGAGCCCTGTTAGCTACATAGGAGTTATCTTTCTTCTCAGAGTTCACAGAGTTGAAAGGATCAAGTTAGACTAACTGACATGTTTCCTCTCACCCTAAATTTTTATAATTGTGTGAAAAGCTATCAGAAATTCTGAAATCTTCATATTCCTGTGTATTCTCAGTATCTTATACTTTGCAGGGTTAGATCTTCCTATTGAAGAGATTATTTACTTTCTGGTGTATATAATTCTGTACCATAGTGGTTCCCAATATGTGAACCCCAGGCTCACATTCCTATTTCATCATTCAACAGATATTAAAATATAACAGCTATCTTAGAAGTAGTAGGAAAGAATGCTGTGAAAATTATTGGCTTAAGGTTTCAATTTTGTGACGTTTACTATAATTAAGTTTTTTATACTCTCTAATTAATCCTTTATAAATAAAAGAAACCATTGATTAGGTGAATTGTGATTCATAGCCCCATATAACCAAATTGTATGTAGATCCATTTTCAGACATTTTTATTTTTTCAGGCCTTAGACCCTGAACCCCAACACTTGTCCTTGACAGCACTTTTTGGGAAGCAGGACAAAGCTACATGTCAGGAAACTGTGGGGCCTCCACAGACACTCCACCAGCAGCAGCAAGAGAAACTTCCAATTCGGCAGGGGGTTATCCGTTCCCTGTCCTATGAGGAACCCAAAGGACACTCACCCCCCATGGAGAAGCAGCTATGTCCAGCCATTCAGAAACTCCTGGTCAGGAGTGCAGACCTTCACCCACTGTCAGAGCTGCCTGAAAACCAGCCCTACAAAAATGGCAGCGAGCCTCCTGCTGGGGAGGATTTTACTGGACCTGCCCACCTGGGGTCTCCCCAGAGCTTTGGGACGTCCCATCGAGTCCACGGTGCTTCCAGAACTCAAACCCTGCTAGAGAAGCTCCAGAGCACCCCGGCGGCCGTGAACAAGTACGACCCTGGTGCACCAGCACCTGCTGGCCCAGCAGCCCTGAACTTCACAGCCCTCTCCGCGGCCACCCCTGCCGCTCCCGTAAAGGCGGTGGCTCAGCCGCCACTGGTACATTTCAATGGCTCCCTTCCACCCCAGGCACTAGGACATCAGGCTCATGAAAAAGATCAGTCCTCGTGCCCAAGACAAATGCTCGCCCTTACTGGCAGTCAGACTAGTGGTTCTGGAGTGATCTCCCCTCAAGAGTTACTGCAAAAGCTTCAGCTTGTGCAGCAGGAGCAGCAGCTGCACACATCTAACCGCCCAGCCTTGGCAGCGAAGTTTCCTCTGCTAACTCAGAGCTCTGGAGCAGGGAAGCCCTGGGAACCCTGGGTTGACAAGACATCCAGCACGGAAAAGCAGATTCCCCTTTTCCAGGTAAGTATCCCCTGGGTCGGGGTCATTACTGTGAAGCGGTGAAATGCAGAGTCCTCTTCTGTGCTGTAGGGACATGTCTGTCCTGAACAGTGTTGCAAAGCCAATTCTATGCATCGTATGTCACCTTAACTTCCTGCTGGAAAGAGAGTCTGATTTGCTTAGCAATCTAGGAGCTTCCCTCCTTTCAGATACTTTATTTGTAGAGTTAAATCTTCACAGTTTGTCAGGCGTGAAGACATGGATGTGGGAAAGAACATAGACATGGAAAGGGATCCTAATCTTCATTCTGGGATATGAAATGTCTGACCTCTTTTATTTTAGTCTAAGTAATTGTTGCTTATTCATTTAATTAGTAAATATCTCTGAGCACTGCTCCCTCCCAGGCACTGTGCTTCACACGGGTGCAGAGTGGTGAGAAGCACAGATGCTGCCTCTGCAGAGCCCACAGGCCTGGGGCCGGAGTCAATGGGAGAAACGTGCCATCACTCTGCAAAGGCCGGCCTGTTCTAGTTTACACCCTCTGCATAGCTTAATGAAGATGGAGAGAGGGATAAATATGTCATGTACACCTTCCCCCCCCACACACACACATTTCCAGAGAGGGGAAAATATTGTAGTTTTTAGAAGTTGTTTATCCTTTAAGGAAGATGATCTCTATGTTCATCAGTAGCTTAGAACAGAGAAAACCACAAGCTGTTCCATTGCCCATGGGTAACATCTGGAGATTGGGCTATTTTCTCATTTGGATTGGTACAAATTCATTGAAAATGCAATAGGTTTAAAAATTAGGAAGTTCTCCTTATTACATATCTCATCATTGGTTGTTTGTCATGTCTTGGCAAGTAGACAACAAAACCTTCCACTCTTTCGAAACCAGGATCATAAGCATGGAGCGTAAGTGTGTCTGTGTGGCGCTGAGTCAGAGAGCTTGTGTTTACTTTTTATAAAATCTCAAAGCTGAGGACCTATTTCTATGGAAACAGTATTTGTCACTCATCCTCATTATAATATAATCCTGTCCCGTTTTCTCTTTGATGGTTTAGTTTGGACACTAGGAAAATTGGGGTTGATAGTTAGACATAAACGTCTGCACACAGTTCTCTTGGCTTTGCAGTGCTCACAGGCATGGAGCCGAGAGGAAAGCGCACACTGTCAGCTTCGCGGTGCTGACATCCTCCTTCGGAGCCTCCGCCTCAGCCCCTCTCAGAACAGCAGTGGGATAGGAAACAGCCTGCCTTCCTCAGGGCTGACTTCTGCCCAAAAAAATACCAAGGGAGTGATTAAAAAATCACAGCAGCTTCCTGATCACTGGCCTTTACACCTCTCCTCATGTTCTTACGGAGTTTTAGGCTGATGATAACATTTTCTCACCTGAGTTAGAAACAGGGAGGGCTGTAGGCATCAGTGAAACAGGGATCTAAGTGTCACTGGCATAACTGCAAAAGCTGTTGGAAGACTTGGTGTTATGTTTGTTACCCAAGGGAGGTAGATAGACTTGCCCAGACAGACAAGTCACTGGCAGTGCTGGCATGGCCAGCCCCAGGACCTGCTCCTGCCTCTGGAGCACGGAGAAGCAGGAAGTGTGTGCTCTCTGCAGGCAGGCACATCCCATGGGGATGGACCCGGGAATCATGCCTCCCTCCTGGTGAGAAATGGGTGAGGAGGACCACTCGCAGCGGTTCCTCCATAGAAAAATGGAGTGGAAATGTGTGTGCCTCCAACAACTCATGCATGCTGTTGGAACTGTAGGCCAGAGCAGTAGACAGCTAGCCTGAGGAAAAGGCCAGCAGTCCTAAATGCATGTTGCCAAGTGATGACAATAAAGCAGAAAATAAAGTGTTGCTCAGAGGCCAAGCACTCCCTGCAGAGGGAACAACAGTCAGCAGAGCGGCCTGAGCGGAGCTGCTGGGGAAGGACGAGGGCAATATGCGGGGAACTGGACCGGAATCAGCTCTCCTTGAGCTTTTCCTGTCTAGTGAAATTTTGAACAATTTGGATTTAAGTTCACCGATATCCACTCTTGCAAGCGAGTGGCCTCTTTGTCTCTGTACCCATTGTATCAGTGAGTTGCTGCTTACACCTGCCCTCTTTGTATGTATTTGGTACGAGCAGGTCATCTCGCCTCAGTGCATCTCTGCCACAGTTGCTTCTTCTCTGCTCATGAGCCCCATGGTGTTCACACAACCTACCTGTAGCCCATCAAAGGAGAGGGACAGCCGGCTCTTGTCCCTGGGAAGCCAGGAACCAGCTGCCGCCTCCACCAGCCTCTTCCTGCCTCTGAAGCACCCAGAGCCCTCCGTGCTCAGCCCACTGACCAAGCTGCAGCTCCAGGAAGCACTGCTGTTCCTCATCCAGGTAGGAAGGCCACGTCTCTCTTCTTACCTTTGCCAGTCCTGCTTGCCTGACAGTTGCCACTCTGAGATAAGGCCTCCGTTAGCGAGTGCCTAAGTAGTACTGCCCAGGAATAAGAGAGCGATGTAAGAATTCTCCCTCATCCACTTGGCTGGGTGAGATTCAGAATACTAACTGCAGATTTAGGTGACTTGACACCTTAAGGATTTTGTAATTTGGAGGAGGACTGACTAAGTCCTCCAGTCTGTCACCTGTCAGAAAAGAAGGACTAGATGCTGCTGCGGGTACCCAAACTGAGAGCTCACCTCTGGGAGTAGAAGTGATGCTGCCTGCACAAGTACGGTGCTTAGCGGAGAGTTCAAGCAGACTGTTGAACAAGGAGCCAGCAGGTAGAGGAGCAAGTAATGGCTGTGATATTAGGGCTATTTTACAGATAATTTCGAAGCCTGCTAATTAGGACAGGATAGAGTGATGGGACTTCTTTGGCAGCCATGAGTTTGTCTTTATGAGATAATAACAGCTGACACCCAGAGCTGTGTCAGTCACTGTTACAATGTTTACTTTCATTAAGTCATCGAGTCCTTATACAGCAACACTATCATTTTTCCATTTTAGAGACAAGGAAACTGAGGTCACACAGCTAGTAAATAGCAGAGCTGAGCTCCAACCCCAGGCTGGCTCCAGAGCGCTGCTTCCCGCTGCCCGCAGTGGGGGCTGCAGCAGTAATGCGGCCTCTGGGCTGTCTGCCCAGCAAAGCACAGCCACAGATAAGTGGCAGGCCTTGAACAGGGGATGCTTTTCCCAGACGTCACACACTTCAGCTAACATCTTTAGGTACTTTTCGTTAGACAGTCTTTAAGAAAACTTTTGTGATATTTGGCTTAAGCTTCAGAGATGGCTTTTAGAGAGCAGGCTAGCACTTTTGCAGCTGTCTCATCTTAAGAAGAAAATGGTCTCTATTAGTAAAAACATTTTTTTAAGGTGACGTATTTTAGAGAGAATGGAAGGAATTGGGCTAGAAAGTGGAAGACTATCTGTTCAAGAGAGGTAACAAATGATCATACTGTACTTTACTAGGTCACAAATATCAGGATGCCAATGGTTTCCTCCTTTTAAAGCCATTTATGATAAGTTCATGTGGACTTAGATAGACCATCTGAGAACAATAAATTGAAAATATTTAAATTTTAAAGTTTCATATTTCTTTTGGCTCATTCCATTTAATCACGTTGTTCCAAAGATCTCTGTGCAGGGGCCAAGACTGAAGCCTAGAGCAGTCCCTGTACAGTGTTAGGCGTTACTTCCTCCACTCTCTGCGTTCATCATACTTTTCCCACGTTTTAGACATACTTTCCTTGTGAGCTGTTTGAAGTCACTAAGCAGTTTGTTTTTAGTGTTTGCCTATTGGTAGGACACAGTAGGGACTTTGCAGTCAGTTGCTAAGAAAAATAGGGATATGTAGCTCTCCTTGCGTGAGAATAATGCTAACTCTGTGTGTGGGTGCCAAGAGGGAATGTGCAATGTGGGTGACTTGCTAAAGCTTTAAAGGATTTGGGTGGAAAGCAAAAGTCTCCATAATTAAAAACAAAACCACTGATTAGACCCATGGTTCTCCACCAGCCCTTAGCCAGGCAGAAGAGCCCAGTGACTGCCGGTCTAACTGCTGTCCACTTGCCAAGGCCAGAAACTTTCCATAGCCAACGGAGAATTACACCGGCTTTGCTATACCAATGATGCACATTGCAAGTAAAATCTTAACTCATTCCAAAAACAAAGTATCTGCTAGCAATCTCCTAACCAAATGTTGAGAACCACTGACCTGGATCAAGTCCTTCCTATCCAGCCAACAAACCCAGGCTCCTCATGAGTGAGCCTTGTTCATACACACATAGCTGGGCAGCCTGGCTGTGATGTGTGTAACATACTGACCATGGAAAAACCACAGCGGACTCATCTAACCTGGCTTCAGCCCCACTTACCATGCAATGTGCAGTTTACAGCTGCCAGCTGGTAGACAGACAAGGAGATGAGCATCTTGGGCTCAACAGGCCAGCTTCGAGACGGGGGAGCCTTTTGTTCCTGCCCACCAATCACAGTCCTTTGGGTCTTTTGGTTTTGTTTTCCAGAATGACGACAACTTCTTAAACATAATCTACGAAGCTTATCTCTTCAACATGACACAAGCAGCCATGAAAAAGACTATGTGAAAGCAAAACATTTAAAAACTGATTCTCAAGGTCCTCCAGCTCAAGGTTTTTTCCTGTTAAGTGTTGTTACCTTAAATGTTCCTGCCTTTTTTAAAAAGTATGTGTAATATGAAGTAAAATGTTTCCAACTTTTTTCCAGTCAAGCTTTAAAAAAAAAAATTTAAAAAATACATGCTTCAGTACACCTGGCAACTAAGGATTCAGTGGGTAGAAAAAGTGCTTAGCTCATATCACACAGTAAATGCCAAGCTTAATTTTTTTTCTTACTTTGGGCCATTTCTAGAAGAATTAGCCTCTCCATAGAGTGGGCTGTTCTGGAAACGTGGTTTCTTTTTTTAATAGTTCTGGTTATACTGTGAACAGAGAGAATGTATAATGTTCCTATTGCTGAGCTCCGCGTGCTGCAGTGTACCCACCACAAGGTGGCAGTGTCACCCCACAGACTGACCTGCACAGCTCTTACCCAGCCTTTGGATTTAATGCTGGTTTGCTTGAACCAAACAAAATAAACCTTTCTTCTTTAAAAGTCCAGTTGGCATGTTTTTCCCGGGCCTTTGAAGGGAAATTATTTCTAAAGATATTATAGATATTTTCTAGAGGGCAGTTGTTCTCTAGGAGTCCACAAATAGCCCAAGTTTCTAGCAACACCTCATTTATCCCAGCTCATGCTATTTCTTTTGGACCCAACCAGCAGAGTATGCCCACCTATGTTTCAAGATGAACATTTTACCATTTTTAGAAAATCATGCTGCGAAGAAGGTCACAGAGGATTTTAAAGCTTTTTCTTAACCTCTGAGGATGGATAGTGGATGGTTCAGAGCATAATGATAAGAATTCTCCAAGCTATGTAGCAGACTAATCTCTATGTTCAGAGTTTAGCTCAATCTTGGGTAGAGTCAGAAGAACCCTTGCCAGGGAAGGCCTGGGAACAACTCCCTGCTGAGTAATCGTAATAAATAAAACTTTGCAGTTCTATCGCCCTTTTTATTCTGGATCCTAAAAAGATCTCTGGATGACTGCACAGAAGGCAGGTTCTATTCTCATTTTATAGGTCATAAAAGAAGGCATGGGGCCGAAACCGGTTTGGCTCAATGGATAGAGCGTCAGCTTGGGGACTGAAGGGGTCCGGGTTCGATTCCAGTCAAGGGCATGTACCTTGGTTGCGGGCATATCCCCAGTAGGGGGTGTGCAAGAGGCAGCTGATCGATGATTCTCTCTCATCGATGTTTCTAACTCTCTATCTCTCTTCCTTCCTCTCTGTACAAAATCAATAAAATATATTATAAAAAAAAAAAAAGAGGCATGGGGAAGGTAGGTGCTGAGACCGGGGCTCTGGCTTTAGACCTTTATTTAGGCCATCAAGCAAAGGGTTTATCACAAGACCACCTCCCCACTTCCGCAGGAGGGTACTTCCGAGGAAAAGAGGTGGGTGGAAAGACTCTTTAAAAAAAAATGTTTTTATTGACTTCAGAGAGAGGAAGGGAGAGAAAGAGAGGGATAAAAACATCAATGATGAGAATAATCGATTGCATCAGCTGCCTCCTGTATGCCCCCTATTGGAGATCTAGCCCACAACCCGGGCATGTGTCCTTACTAGGAATCAAACCATGAGCTCCTGGTCAACACTCAACTACTGAGCTACACTGACCAGCAAGGCAGTGACTCTTACTGAAACCTGTTAGGTGCCATGCTCAAGGTGGAGGAGTCTACTGTCATGCTATATTTGGGAAGGGATGGTTTCTTTTGTCTCTTTGATTTATCCTACAACCACTAACATAGTGGAAAACCCATGTGATATTCTAACAAAAGACTTTGGATTGGTAACTGCTTATATAATCCTATATAATATCCTATATAATAAAGAGGTAATATGCAAATTGACCATCATGCCCTCACAAGATGGTTGTCTACGACCAGGTTGGCAGGGGGGTTAGTGAGGGACGAACAAGCAGGCTGTGTGGGGCAACCAGGCTGGTGGGGGAGAGGGGGCAGTAAGGGGTGACCAGGCCAGCAGGGGGGCAGTTGGAAGCGACCAGGCTGGCAGAGAGGGGGTATTTGGGGGTGACCTGGCCAGCGGGGGGGAGAGAGGGGCAGTTAGGAGCAATCAGGCCAGCACTCAGAGGCAGTGAGGGGTGATCAGGTCAGTGGGGGCAGTGGCAGTTAGGGGCAACCAGGTAGGCAGGCAGGTAAGCGATTAGGAACCAGTGGTCCAGGATTGTGAGAGGAATGTCCAACTGCCAGTTTAGGCCTGATCCCCAGGATTGGTCCTAAACTGGCAGTCAGACATCCCCTGAGGGGTACTGGATTTGAGGGGGTTCAGGCTGGGTTGAGGGGGATCTTCCCCCCATGCACAAATTTCTAGCACCAGGCCTCTAGTATCTTAATATTCTTCTAGGGCAAGAAGAGAAACAAAATCAATGACTGCTCACTTCAGCAATACATACAGTAAATGTGGAACAAAGTCAGTGATATACTCAACTGCTGGCCAATCTTTTTTAAAAAAACATCTCTTTTATTTTTATTACATGTTAAGAGTTGTTAAGGAGAAATTAATTCCATTTTAAATATTTCTAGTATATTTGTGGTAGGAAATGGCTAATTACATGAAATATGTTTTTACCTCAGCATTAAAGAAAATTTAAAAAATATCAATTGCAGCAGTTAATGAGAAAGATGTGTGTGGTGTGAAAGCCATGAACCCCAGCCCAGCACAGTCCAACCGCACTGCAGGCCTCACTCAGGCCTTTGTAGGTCAATACCACAGCCATACGTTTTGAAAATAAGAAATTCTCCATCCTTTACTGAAGTGATACACTTTAAAAGTGATAGGCCCAATTCATTTGGACCAAAGACTAAGCCACCTCTTAAAGGACATTTGGTGGGGAGAAACCAAGGTGGCGGCATAGGTAAACACCTAACTGCAGCCTCACACAACCATTTAAAAAAAAAAATACAACTAAAATACAAAATGGACTTACCCAGAACTACAGGAAAGTCAACTGACTAGAAATTATACAATGAGAAGGAAAGAGAAAACCGGAAGGAAAAATCAGAGGAGCTGTAAAAGCCCAAGGTACAGAGACACTGTGTGCACAGGGAGAGGACGGAGCCAGAGAGGACGGGGAGGCTGAGTGCCTGGCAGGCGTTCCCTAGCGGGAAGGAGATAAAAACTCCGGACTGTGCTGAACCCAGTTCCGACAGCACTGAACCCCAGTTCTAGGCGAGACCCTGGGGACCCAGACACGTAAGGAGGGAGTCTGGCCGGAAACTCAGGGGAGGGGCGAAAGGAAGTCCCAGAGGCGTGCACATTGCACGCAGAGACTGTGCCACTGGATTGCCCTAGCGGGAAGGAGACAAAAGCTCCAGACTGCTCTGAATCCCATTTCCAACCCCACTTCCAACTGAACTGAACCCCAGTTCCGGGCTCATTGGGGGAGAGCCTAGACTGTCTGGTAGCGGGCGAAACTCGAGGGCACCTTTCTCTCGGAGGTGCTTGCAGCGAGTACCAAAGGACACTGAGGAACACTGAGACTCAGGAACCTCATAGGGCGGGGCTGATGGAAGCCAAGGCTGTAGGCTCCACCCTGAAACTCCCCGCCCTATCCAAGCTGAACACAGAGACTTTTAAGGCTACCAACTCAGGGAAGCTGCGAAAATGCCGAGACAAGGAAACAGATCACAAACAAAAGAAATGGAGGACAAAAAGCAACTGGATATAGAGTTCAAAACCACTCTTATAAGGTTTTTCAAGAATTTCCTAGAAAAGGCCAATAAAATAAACGAGACCTATGAGGATATGAAAAGGGATCAACTAGAAATAATAAGGGATCAACTAGAAATAAAGAATATATTGTCTGAAATAAAAAATATTATACAGAGTCCTAAAAACAGAATGGAAGATCGCAAGAATCAAGTCAAAGATTTGGAACATAAAGAGCCAGAAGACACTCCTCTGCAGAAGCAAGAAGACAAGAGAATCCTGAAAGTTGAAGATATTGTAAGAAACCTCTGGGACAACTTCAAAAGAACCAACATCAGAATTATGGGGGGCCCAGAAGAAGAGAGAGAGCAAGATACTGAAAACATACTGGAAGAAATAGTGACAGAAAACTTCCCCCATCTGGTGAAAGAATTAGACTTACAAGTCCAGGAAGTGCACAGAACCCCAAACAAAAGGAATCCAAAGAGGACCACACCAAGGCACATCAGAATTAAAATCCCAAGAGCAAAAGACAGAGAATATTAAAAGCAGCAAGAGCAAAGCAGGTAGTTACCTATAAAGGAGCACCCATATGATTGTCAGCTGATTTCTCAACAGAAACCATGCAGGCCAGACGAGAATGGCAAGAAATATTCAAGGTGGTGAATAACAAGAACCTACAGCCAAAAATACTCTACCTAACAAAGCTATTACTCAGAATCAAAGGCCAGATAAAGAGCTTCACTAATAAAAAAAAAAGCTAAAGGAGTTCATCACCGCCAAACCAGAATTATATGAATTGCTGAAAGGGGTTTTTTAGGAAGAGAAAGAAAATAAAGATAAAAATTATGAACAACAAATAAGTAACTATCAACAAGTGAATCTAAAAACCAAGGAAATTAAAAAATCTGATGAACAATATTAACTGGTGAATATAATAGAATCAGAGGTATGGTAGGGGAGTGAACTGATGATTCCCAGGAAAAAGGGGAGTGGGGAATGTGGGAAGAGACTAAACATAAACTGTGCACCTATGGATGAGGACAGTGGGGGGTGGGGAAAGGGTAGAGGGGGGGGGGAACCTGATGAAGGGGAGCAATGGAGGGGGGGAAAATGAGGAACATTTGTAATAATATGAACAATAAAAATTTATTTTTTTAAAAATGTCTTAAAAAAAGACATTTGATGATGGGTGCTTATTCTTTATATGGTGATGCAGATAAGAGCTTCTTTGTACAGGAGCTTTCTATAGAGAGTGCAGGAAATGGATTAAGGTTAACTAAG